AGTATTGACACTTCAGTCTATAACAATGTATTTTATGTTGATATTTAAGCTAGTGTGATGGTGTTGCAATATGTGACAATGTACACTGATGGTGTTGCAATGTGTGACAATGTACACTGATGGTGTTGCAATGTGTGACAATGTACACTGATGGTGTTGCAATGTGTGACAATGTACACTGTTGTAATTGCAATGTGTGACAATGTACACTGTTGTAATTGCAATGTGTGACAATGTACACTGATGGTGTTGCAATGTATGACAATGTACACTGTTGTAATTGCAATGTGTGACAATGTACACTGATGGTGTTGCAATGTATGACAATGTACACTGATGGTGTTGCAATGTATGACAATGTACACTGATGGTGTTGCAATGTGTGACAATGTACACTGATGGTGTTGCAATGTATGACAATGTACACTGATGGTGTTGCAATGTGTGACAATGTACACTGATGGTGTTGCAATGTATGACAATGTACACTGATGGTGTTGCAATGTATGACAATGTACACTGATGTTGTTGCAATGTGTGACAATGTACACTGATGGTGTTGCAATGTGTGACAATGTACACTGATGGTGTTGCAATGTGTGACAATGTACACTGATGGTGTTGCGATATGTGACAATGTACACTGATGGTGTTGCAATGTGTGACAATGTACACTGATGTTGTTGCGATATGTGACAATGTACACTGATGGTGTTGCAATGTGTGACAATGTACACTGATGGTGTTGCAATGTGTGACAATGTACACTGATGGTGTTGCAATGTGTGACAATGTACACTGATGGTGTTGCAATGTGTGACAATGTACACTGATGGTGTTGCAATGTATGACAATGTACACTGATGGTGTTGCAATGTGTGACAATGTACACTGATGGTGTTGCAATGTATGACAATGTACACTGATGTTGTTGCGATATGTGACAATGTACACTGATGGTGTTGCAATGTATGACAATGTACACTGATGGTGTTGCAATGTGTGACAATGTACAATGATGGTGTTGCAATGTGTGACAATGTACACTGATGGTGTTGCAATGTGTGACAATGTACACTGATGGTGTTGCAATGTGTGACAATGTACACTGATGGTGTTGCAATGTATGACAATGTACACTGATGTTGTTGCAATGTATGACAATGTACACTGATGGTGTTGCAATGTGTGACAATGTACACTGATGGTGTTGCAATGTGTGACAATGTACACTGATGGTGTTGCAATGTGTGACAATGTACACTGATGGTGTTGCAATGTATGACAATGTACACTGATGTTGTTGCGATATGTGACAATGTACACTGATGTTGTTGCGATATGTGACAATGTACACTGATGGTGTTGCAATGTGTGACAATGTACACTGATGTTGTTGCGATATGTGACAATGTACACTGATGTTGTTGCGATATGTGACAATGTACAATGATGGTGTTGCAATGTGTGACAATGTACACTGATGGTGTTGCAATGTGTGACAATGTACACTGATGGTGTTGCAATGTGTGACAATGTACACTGATGGTGTTGCAATGTGTGACAATGTACACTGATGGTGTTGCAATGTATGACAATGTACACTGATGGTGTTGCAATGTGTGACAATGTACACTGATGGTGTTGCAATGTGTGACAATGTACACTGATGTTGTTGCGATATGTGACAATGTACACTGATGGTGTTGCAATGTGTGACAATGTACACTGATGGTGTTGCAATGTGTGACAATGTACACTGATGGTGTTGCAATGTGTGACAATGTACACTGATGGTGTTGCAATGTGTGACAATGTACACTGATGGTGTTGCAATGTGTGACAATGTACACTGATGGTGTTGCAATGTATGACAATGTACACTGATGGTGTTGCAATGTGTGACAATGTACACTGATGGTGTTGCAATGTATGACAATGTACACTGATGTTGTTGCGATATGTGACAATGTACACTGATGGTGTTGCAATGTATGACAATGTACACTGATGGTGTTGCAATGTGTGACAATGTACAATGATGGTGTTGCAATGTGTGACAATGTACACTGATGGTGTTGCAATGTGTGACAATGTACACTGATGGTGTTGCAATGTGTGACAATGTACACTGATGGTGTTGCAATGTATGACAATGTACACTGATGTTGTTGCAATGTATGACAATGTACACTGATGGTGTTGCAATGTGTGACAATGTACACTGATGGTGTTGCAATGTGTGACAATGTACACTGATGGTGTTGCAATGTGTGACAATGTACACTGATGGTGTTGCAATGTATGACAATGTACACTGATGTTGTTGCGATATGTGACAATGTACACTGATGTTGTTGCGATATGTGACAATGTACACTGATGGTGTTGCAATGTGTGACAATGTACACTGATGTTGTTGCGATATGTGACAATGTACACTGATGTTGTTGCGATATGTGACAATGTACAATGATGGTGTTGCAATGTGTGACAATGTACACTGATGGTGTTGCAATGTGTGACAATGTACACTGATGGTGTTGCAATGTGTGACAATGTACACTGATGGTGTTGCAATGTGTGACAATGTACACTGATGGTGTTGCAATGTATGACAATGTACACTGATGGTGTTGCAATGTGTGACAATGTACACTGATGGTGTTGCAATGTGTGACAATGTACACTGATGTTGTTGCGATATGTGACAATGTACACTGATGGTGTTGCAATGTGTGACAATGTACACTGATGGTGTTGCAATGTATGACAATGTACACTGATGTTGTTGCAATGTGTGACAATGTACACTGATGGTGTTGCAATGTGTGACAATGTACACTGATGTTGTTGCGATATGTGACAATGTACACTGATGGTGTTGCAATGTGTGACAATGTACACTGATGGTGTTGCAATGTATGACAATGTACACTGATGTTGTTGCGATGTGTGACAATGTACACTGATGGTGTTGCAATGTGTGACAATGTACACTGATGGTGTTGCAATGTATGACAATGTACAATGATGGTGTTGCAATGTGTGACAATGTACACTGATGTTGTTGCGATATGTGACAATGTACACTGATGGTGTTGCAATGTATGACAATGTACACTGATGGTGTTGCAATGTATGACAATGTACACTGATGTTGTTGCGATATGTGACAATGTACACTGATGGTGTTGCAATGTGTGACAATGTACACTGATGTTGTTGCAATGTATGACAATGTACACTGATGTTGTTGCGATATGTGACAATGTACACTGATGGTGTTGCAATGTGTGACAATGTACACTGATGTTGTTGCAATGTATGACAATGTACACTGATGTTGTTGCGATATGTGACAATGTACAATGATGGTGTTGCAATATGTGACAATGTACACTGATGGTGTTGCAATGTATGACAATGTACACTGATGGTGTTGCAATGTATGACAATGTACACTGATGGTGTTGCAATGTATGACAATGTACACTGATGGTGTTGCAATGTATGACAATGTACACTGATGGTGTTGCAATGTATGACAATGTACACTGATGGTGTTGCAATGTGTGACAATGTACACTGTTGGTGTTGCGATATGTGACAATGTACAATGATGGTGTTGCAATATGTGACAATGTTCAGTGATGGTGTTGCAATGTATGACAATGTACACTGATGGTGTTGCAATGTGTGACAATGTACACTGATGGTGTTGCAATGTATGACAATGTACACTGATGTTGTTGCGATATGTGACAATGTACACTGATGTTGTTGCAATGTATGACAATGTACACTGATGGTGTTGCAATGTGTGACAATGTACAATGATGGTGTTGCAATGTGTGACAATGTACACTGATGTTGTTGCGATATGTGACAATGTACACTGATGTTGTTGCAATGTATGACAATGTACAATGATGGTGTTGCAATGTGTGACAATGTACAATGATGTTGTTGCAATGTGTGACAATGTACACTGATGGTGTTGCAATGTATGACAATGTACACTGATGGTGTTGCAATGTATGACAATGTACACTGATGGTGTTGCAATGTGTGACAATGTACACTGATGGTGTTGCAATGTATGACAATGTACACTGATGGTGTTGCAATGTGTGACAATGTACACTGATGGTGTTGCAATGTATGACAATGTACACTGATGTTGTTGCGATATGTGACAATGTACAATGATGGTGTTGCAATATGTGACAATGTACACTGATGGTGTTGCAATGTGTGACAATGTACACTGATGGTGTTGCAATGTGTGACAATGTACACTGATGGTGTTGCAATGTGTGACAATGTACACTGATGGTGTTGCAATGTGTGACAATGTACACTGTTGGTGTTGCAATGTGTGACAATGTACACTGATGGTGTTGCAATGTGTGACAATGTACACTGATGGTGTTGCAATGTGTGACAATGTACACTGATGGTGTTGCAATGTGTGACAATGTACACTGATGGTGTTGCAATGTGTGACAATGTACACTGATGGTGTTGCAATGTGTGACAATGTACACTGATGGTGTTGCAATGTGTGACAATGTACACTGATGGTGTTGCAATGTATGACAATGTACAATGATGGTGTTGCAATGTGTGACAATGTACACTGATGTTGTTGCAATGTGTGACAATGTACACTGATGGTGTTGCAATGTGTGACAATGTACACTGATGGTGTTGCAATGTATGACAATGTACACTGATGGTGTTGCAATGTATGACAATGTACACTGATGTTGTTGCGATATGTGACAATGTACAATGATGTTGTTGCAATGTATGACAATGTACACTGATGGTGTTGCAATGTGTGACAATGTACACTGATGGTGTTGCAATGTGTGACAATGTACACTGATGTTGTTGCAATGTGTGACAATGTACACTGATGTTGTTGCAATGTGTGACAATGTACACTGATGTTGTTGCAAAATGGGTGACAATGTTTCCTGTTGGTGTTTCAGTGTGTGAGGATGTTGATATGACGGCGGAGAACGCCGGACAGTAACCCCTGGGATGTCGGACCCCCTGTCCCCCAAGTCTCCCCGCAAGGGGAAGCACGTCAATCTCCGAGTCCAGTTCTTGGACGATACAGTTCATGCCTTTCCAATTCCGGTAAGTCACAGTGATTCTCCAGTAAGGTCAAACAAAGTAGTGTTTCAAGTAACAGCTTAGAAATACAAATACAGGCTTATCTACAAAAACCAGCGAAGAGCAACAAAACTATGGAAAATGAACACACTTTAATAACAATAAGAATAATAATAATAAGAAGAAGAATAGACCATTTATATTGCACATATTTCTAGGGGCATGCTCAAAGCGGTATTATTACCCCGATCACTGGATCAGTGTGCTATCATGATATAACATTCATACTAAGTTTTCCTATAATAATTAGATCCACATCAAGTGCTTTTATGAATTATCATGGTGTAATATGTAGACATATCTTTTGTCTGGGAGATGGGATCTTGATACCTTAGGCTAGCATTTATCTAAAAGCTTCAAATCTATTAAACTATGTAGACATAACTCTTGTCTTATTGAATAGTATGTCTAGGAGATGTGCTCCCATTACCTTAGGCTAGCATCTATATAAAAAGCTATAACTGAAACTACTGATATTTTATACATGCATTTTACCTGATGATAAGTATTACTTGCTAAACTATAATTATATGAAATGATGTATAAATATTATACCATGATAATTCATAAAAGCACTTAATGTGGATCTAATTATTATAGAAAAATTAGTATAAATGTTATATCATGATAGTGCACTCAAGAACCATTCTCAGCTCCCTGAGGAGTATACAACCCAAGCTGCCTGTTAAGACACTAGAAGGTTAACCACATTGTCATCTCATCCTACCGGGTACCCATTCACTGCTGAAACAAGACACAAACCCCATTAAGAGTCATCATAAGGATAAGATCCAGGCACATTTTAATGGTCGAGGTTGATGCTTTATGGGGAGTGTGTCTTGTTTGTAATTTATGTGGCTGTCTCTATTTAAAGTGTGTACATTTGCCATAGTTTGGTTGCTCTCTGCTGGTTTTGTTTGGAAGGCCTGAGCTAGTCTAGCGGCTGCGTCTCGCCCTGCCATGCACGCATGCAGATATGATGAACAACAGGTGAAGGTCGCACTGCATTTTGAGAGATACAGAGGTCGACCTATCGTATCATGTCAACGTAAGCTGTACCGAGCATCACTGCGCTTCAGGTGCAGGACTAGATTACTCTGTAGATAAGGAGATAAAATCTATCAATAGATACCGTATTCGAAGTAATAAGCACCCAGGGCGCTCTCAAAATTGGAAATAGGGGGCTTTTATTAGAATATTATTTTGGTGAAAATAAAAACAGAGTTGGAAGATCGTAATTTTCATGATTTATGCTGACAGCCTGAAATGTTTACCTAGGACAGATATCTTTTTCCAGAATTTAATTGCCCATCATTAAGGGTGCATATAACACACGAGTGCTTATTTGAACGAATAAATAAGTCCTGTGTACATTGATCAGTCGGAAAGGGGTGCTGATTGGGATTGTTCACTAGCCAATATATTTGCAAATATTGCCGTCGGCGCTTATTAGAGTGGGGCGCTTATTACGTCGAATACGGTAGTTAAAATCATGTTAAACCCCATTTCACCTCACCCCATCTGCTATCAGCCACTGATGTGTCTTGTGAAGCCCATTTCTGGTGTCCCCCGCCGTGATATTGCTGGAATATTGCTAAAAGCGGCGTAAAACCAAACTCACTCACTCACTCACTGGTGTGTCTGCCCCGACCTACTGACGTAGAAAGCATGAATTTAACATTCTGAGGCGTCTTAGAATTGTTGTTTCAGACAGAATGTTTCAGTGTGAGCTTCAAAACAAACATATTTGTATTTTGAAAGAAGGAGTGAAATGGTTTATGTTATTTACACAGTATCATTCAGCGCGCCTATTATGACCAGTGAACAATTTTTGTTTTTGTGGAAAAACGGAGACATTTTTGGTGGTGTTTTCAAGCATTTTCAATTGATATTCTTTTTAAAATCCCTTTCCATTGCATTTGGTTGGCTAAAAACTCGTGTTTCCGTAAACCAAAAAAAACAACATTTGGCCACGCCCACTCACAGACAACTGTTTCCTGATTGGCTGATAATAACATGGATGTATTATTGCGGTGGACATTGTCACTGATTTCGTTTTATTGTCAACAGTTTTTGTGTGTTAATGCTTAATTAGCAGCTGCAAAGTTGTTATTGTTGATGTGTTTATTAGAAGGTAGAAATGAAATATAAAAATGTGCACATTTTGTTTTTTTCTTTTGTACCTCCATAAACTCTATATTAGTGGCTGTGGCCTATGTTTTTTTTCGGTTTATGAAAACATGAGTGGTTATGACACTGCTTTTTACATTAATATCTCAAAATAATTCTTGAATGGTCATCCCCCTACATGCTTCTGTGATGAAGCTGGTGTAGAAATATGATGACGCACTCAAATTTCTAGTTCGTCAATCATAACAGATGTTTGTAACAAATAACAACAGAAATTTTCACTTCAGATTGTATATTTTGGATATCTCATACATTATCATATCAACAGCATCAACAAAATGTTGCTTCTTTTTGTTGGCAATCGGAACCATATCCGGGACACTATATTGAAGTTGCCTAGCAACAAGTACCAGATTCTTCTGCAGCCGTCTTATCTCAGATTTTGGTATCTTTTTCAAAATATCAAGTATATTCTCTCGTTTGTTTTGTATGTGATGTGATTCAACACTTACAGCGAAATCTGTATAATTTAGAACACTCTGAAATGGATAAACCACATCCTGATGACTGAATTTAAAAATCACAGGAATACAGCCACTTTGAATACTGTCGTAGAAGCTCTTACGAGTTGGGGAATCTCCCTGTGGCTGTAAACAAAACACCGAATTCTCCATCCATTCCACGGTAATGTTCAAATGGGTTATAGAACACTCAGTAGTCACCAGCATTAGCTGTTCTGGAAGTGTCGTAGCATTTTCTAAATACTTTGCTTTACTCGTACCTGTTATTTTGGTTTGAAACTGATCGATGAGAATGGCTCGGAAGAAATTGCTCCTTCTGGTGCTCGAGGCTAGGAATAAAAAGACTTTCCTCTCGTCCAAACCAGGGGAGTTTATGGCCTGTGAGGACGTATATAATGTGTTACGATGCACGTACGATGGGTAGGGTACTACGATAATTCGCTGTTTCTGTAGTCCAATTTGACTTCTCCACGATATCATTGCTTCTTTTTCTATGGCCAAAAACGTCACATTTTGACAGTGTGGATTCTTCAGGTAGGGATATCTAGTTGAAGATTGTTCTCGTTCGATTTTAGCCAAGGCTGCGAAGTGAGGTTTCCCCTGTTTGAAATAAGGCCATGTGTCTAGCATCTCGAACAGCTCGGTTGTCAATGACGACACGTTCGCGCTGAGTCTTTTGCAGAAGAACATGACACCAATGTATGATGGGATATAAAACACGTCAGCTTCCTTTGGATCATAAGTTCGGTATCGGCTGTTGGCCAGCTGGTGATGCATCACCACTTCCAGGGAGAATTGATTTGTGTTATGTACCCGCATATCGCCTTTCTCGTACAGGAAATCACCAAAGCCATTGTTACTGAAGTTGAAGCAGCTAATGTGGTCACTTATTCTTGGAGATATACAGTTTTTAATGTCCATGTTGAACTTGGGCGGAAGGTCGTAGATGTAGACTTTGGGAATTTTCTTCATGTGCGTAATGGTGTGAATAGAGTTATCCCCCTTGAGCACATCGGTGTTAGGGTTGGACAGAATGACGCTCTCCTGAATTTTAAGCTGGTGGATTCTGAAGAAGGAAAAAGCATGTTCTTTTGATGTTGAAGAATTGAATGTAAAGTATTTAGTGGATATATCTAATTATCGAATTTCTGTCTTGAAAATTTAAATATGTCTGGCTGGATGGATGCAATGCTTGCCAGGTTTGTTTGTTTGTTTGTTGTTTAACGTCATACTCAGCAATATTCCAGCAAAATGACGGGGTCTGTAAATCGAGTTTGGACAGACAGTCCAGTGATTGACATCATGAGCATCGATCCACGCAATTGCCATGGTAAGGCTGTAGTACCAGGGCCTGGAGTGTCTACAAACCTTTTGTCTTGGTGAGTTGACTCGTCCTTGAGCCAGAAGAGGGTGCTGATGCCGCTGATGAAGGCGATAGTGACTAGAAACAGGGGACGTCGCCATAGTCGTCGCAACATCGTCACGGGATATCTGAAAGTAACAAACGCTTTTGTTGTACAGGATTTCTGAGTGGGTGGTTGCTGACACCGGCACTTTTTCAGCACGAGTAACTTGCCTTTGGGCATGGTGGGGTAGCCTAGTGGTTATAGCGTTTGCTTGTCATGCCGAAGGCCCAGGTTAAAATCCCACATGGGTACAGTGTTTGATCCCATTTCTGGCGTCCTCCGTTGTCATATTGCTGGAATATTGCTAAAATTCAGCATAAAATTTGCTTGCTTATTTCCATTGAGCTATGACACACAGTCAGACAGGACTGTTTCCGCAAAGTGATTGTATCTTAACTCATACTTTAACAAAGACTTATGATGGTCGTAGCCCTAAATTCATTCAATGGAATGAGGACCAGGTTCCATATTGTGACAATTATTCCTCATTTCCGTTGGCTCCCATGACTATGCTTGTCGTAAGAGGCGATTAACGGGATCGGGTGGTCAGGGTTGCTGACTGGGTTGATGCATGTCATCGAATCCCAATTGCGTGGATCGATGCTCATGACATCAATCACTGGATTGTCTTTTCAGACTTGATTGTTTACAGACCGCCGTCATATAGCTGAAATATTGCTGAGTGTGGCGTTGAACAACAAATCAGGGACCTTTTCTATCTGGGTCTCACCAACGTATGTCAAGTTTGGAAGACTTTTCCAAATCAGACATTTTGTACCAATCTCTTAATATCTACAACAGGTACCCGGGTAGGGTAAGGTAATAGGGTGGAGGGTACCCAGGTAGTAAATTTGGACTTGTCCCAGCCCTATTTTCTTGTCATATATCTCATATCAACTATATCTAAATATTTAACCAATAAAACTGCATCGTAGGCAAGCCAGGTTTCTTGGGTCAGTGCCTTCAGCAGAACATAAGTGATCAGTTATTACTTGTCCAGATATGCCTCAGGCTATTCCTTCACGGCTCTATTCCTTCATGGCTCTATTCCTTCACGGCTCTATTCCTTCACGACTCTATTCCTTCACGGCTCTATTCCTTCATGGCTCTATTCCTTCACGGCTCTATTCCTTCACGGCTCTATTCCTTCACGGCTCTATTCCTTCATGGCTCATATAGTACATTCTTCTGCTTAGGGCCATTCTACTCATTCAGGGCCATCAGAGACACAAGAGGACTTTGTTGTGTACTGCAGCACATCCAAGCACATTGGTGGTAGAACACCATATTCCAGCTATATGATGGCGGTCTGTAAAAAATCGAGTCTCATCCCGATAATCCAGTAATTGACATCATGAGCATCGATCCACGCAATTGGGATATGATGACATGCATCAACCAAGTCAGCGAGTCTGACCACCCGATCCCGTTAGTCGCCTCTTACGGCAAGCATAGTCGCCTTTTTGTGAAATTGAAGAGAATCGCTTGTTACCTTTCTATTATATTTTACAAGTTAACAATTTAAATCTAAACAATTAATTCCGATGCAACCTTGAATTCTAACTTACTTACTAGAATTGTTTGCAAATGTATATTCTTCTGTTTCCAGATCTGTGAAATTAAAGACATTCTCTATGTTCCTTTTTAATATATTTCAAAAAACAATTTATCTCTTGTATTTTCTTAAAATATTTTCAGGGCTCTGTTATTATATTGACAACAGGCTATGAAAACCTACTTGTAAGTGTCAAAATATCCCCGAAACTTACCTTGCTATCGGTATCATGTGTGTCTAGGTTCTGATAGGATATGGTAGAAGATCTTATTCATGAACTGTCGGACTCAATCACTTTGCACACTTTACAGAATATACATTTTGTGAACCATCAGGAAGACTTGAACCAACAGTGGGTTCTGTGAGGCATTGAAGAAAGCGGATTCTCAGTCCTGTCACGATTTCCCTATTTTACACTGTCATGATTTCGGATAATACAGGCTCATGGTTATATTTGTAAAGCATAGTCATTGATACATTAATAGTACTAAGCTTTATATTCAGGACAATGCCAGTTGAAGTCTCACCCAAGATTTGTACTTGACTATAAACGTTCAATGTTAAAATAACATTGAGTACGTGGTCAAAGTCAGATGTTGAATTTATATGTTTGTCCATATATATAACACTCCCCACATGTATGTGATTGGTACAGTTTCCAACAGAGTTCAGATTCTGTTTTCTGTATATGTTAAGTAGGTCATTTACGGTAGGGCTGGGACGAGTCCAAATTTACTACCCGGGTACCCACCCTACTATTACCCGACCCTACCCGGGTACCCACTGCAGGTCTCAAGAGATAGGTAAAACATGTTGGATTGGGAATAGTTTGACCGTACTCCTGTCAAAATAGATTTAGATACACATATAAACCGATCTGGTCATGCATACACTGAAGTTGACTGATGTTTTATCATTATGCAAACATATAAAGTCAAAAGGAATGTGTGCAAAGTCAGAAAGAATTGAGAACATTTATCACTTATAGTGTAACCATAGAGTTCTAGATAATTTTTGCCATAAAACAATATAATCACATGACTAACCACGGGTCCGGGTAGTCCTGTGGGTACCCGGGTCCTACTCAGTACCCACCCGACCTGGGTACCCGAGTTACCGGTCCCAGCCCTACTTTACGGTAATATTGTCAGTTGTCATGTATTCAGGAGGATTTGTGGAAATATTTTTTGAATATTATAAACTGAAATTGTACAAAGCTGTTCCTTGGTCTCTATGTTATTCTGAAATCATCATGTGTTGCATCAAATGTCAGTGAAAATAACCAACTGGGAAGTCAAGTTTCCGCATCAATTTAATATAGGTAAAACAAATATACGGCTTTGTTTAGGTGACTTGTATTTCATTGAGACAGCAATTATAAAGGGGAAAGAAGCATTATGTTATTGAATGCAATATTAAAAATACCTGAATATTATATTTTGTCAAAAATATTCCCAAAAAAACTTTTACAAAGCCTATTTTGCACATAAAATTTTTTCCAAATTTGCATGCCTATATGTCCCTGGATTGATATAAATCATAAACAAAAAACTAAAAAGACATTTGCCGAAACTGCCAATTTGTCGATGCCTTGTCCATTTAATGAATATTCTATACTGAACTTACCTTAAAATTAGATCCAGAACAGAGGATGATTATGTTGGTACGGATATTGAATAATTATCCAGTTAGAAATGATCCAGAAACAATTCAAAGTAAGTTGGTCACTGTCGTACATTTAATGAATATTCCATACTGAACTTACCTTAAAATTAGATCCAGAACAGAGGATGATTATGTTGGTACGGATATTGGATAATTATCCAGTTAGAAATGATCCAGAAACAATTCAAAGTAAGTTGGTCACTGTCATACACGCCTATGGACTTACTTTCAGTGAAAGATGTACCAAAGTATCTGGCCAAGTGGCCAGAAATCTCCCGGCACACCCTTCTGTCAATCAAGCCGTCTGCTCTGGATGGCAGCCATCTTGGATTGTATTGATGTTAGCACAGCTGTTGTGATGGTGATGAGGGGTTCAGGAATATGGTTCTTGTATCTTGCTGCCACATATGGTCAGCTGGGGGTCATTGAACAGCCATGCTTCCTATTCCTGAAGGAAATGTGGCAGATGGTTGACCAATCATACCAATGTTGAAACCATTTTCTTCTGTGTTCTTAAGTTTTACATCAGCTTGATGTTCATTGGTGTAAATGATTCAATGGTAATAACCATGCTTTGTATACTCTATGTTGGGCCTATATGCAGCTGTTTCTCAGGAATTTGATCGGTTCATCTCACGAAAAATTGAGAAGTCGCACTTGATAATGATAAAAGGTAGCTAAAAAACTACAGGGATTTGTCTTGGCTTCTAAGTACTCTGGGGGGAATCTAATCAGGGGGATGGGGATCTTTTGTTCACAATCGGGATTTATTTATATCTATCACTTTTCTTAATCTCAGATGTATTTCAACATAGTATTTTAACAATACATTTGCCACACTCGGCAATATTCAAACTATATGATGGCAGCCTGTAAATAGTGAAATCAGTCCAGTGATGGACATCTTGAGCATCACTCTACGCAATTGGGATACGATGACATGCTTTTGTTTGTTTGTTGTTTAACGCTGCACTCGGCAATATTCCAACTATATGACAGCGGTCTGTAAATAATCAAGTCTGTACCAGACAATCCAGTGATTGACATCATGAGCATCGATCCACGCAGTTGGAATCGATGACATGCATCAACCAAGTCAGCAAGCCTGCATGGTCACCTGATCCCATTAGTCGCCTCTTATGACAAGAGTAGTTTCCTGTTAACATGGGTTGCTGAAGACCAATTCTACCCCTGTTCTTCACGGGTCCCCTTTTTTGTTACTGTATGCATGACACACAAGTCGTCTCAGCCATCAAGTTAGTCTTAATTATGTTAACATTAATTAGGATTTCTTTTTTCTCATTTGGGAATTTTTACAAACACAGTATCAGTTTAGATGCATGTCTATCACGATAGAATGTGCTTCACTTAAATGTCACCTTAACATACATGTGACATTGCATTTTCATGAATACTCTTTCAAGATGGATGTTTTGAAAGGAAGAATTTAAATTTGAATTTGTGAATTGCACAAGCTGCAAATATCATACTCATGTTGGGTGGCAAATATGATCAGGTCAGTGTTTCAGCTTCAGAAATATTTGCTTTTCTCTCTCGCAGTTGAAGTTTAAAACTTGAAATGACAACCTGTTGAAACAGTGGTAAGGGAAATATTATCATGCTAATTTGTGTCTATAGATGAAGCACTCAGCTAGTCAGATATTCCTGCCACAAGGGACAATAACTTTTTTACAGGCCAATTATTGTGTAGTTGGCGGTTCCCTAATTGATGTCGGCCATCTTGTTCTGTTTCGAATATCAGGAAAACTATCTTGTTCTTTTTTCTCCATAAACACAAAATTGCCTGAACGCACAGATGTGTCTCGAAAATATTTCCTCAATAAATGTGACAGTGTTTTTGAAACATAGTGCAAATGTTTATTTTGTAAGGAACAATTTAGTTATGGCTGTTAAGTATTTGAGTTTGGCTTGGGTGGTCCTATGGTTTGTGTATTTGCTTCTCATGGAGTAGGTTTGAGTTCAGATCCAGGTCACAATTTCATCCTCATCAGCAATCAGCACAACACATCACTCATGGGTTCCACAACCTAGGCCCCTTTAGGCTTTCCTCCCACATAAAGCCGACACACATCGACTAATATTTAATCTCTGAAATGAAAATATTTTAAGATTTCTTTGGTAATCTGTCTTTTTATATTGTCAAAAGAATCTCTGAGAATCTCTTTGTTTTCAGAAACCCAGAGACTGAAGAAATCTTGTCTTGCCAAAGTAATGTAGACATGCATGGTATTTTCGGATACTTTTGTTTCAGGGTCTGTGTGAGAGACTTCAAATTGATCCATCCAACTTTTACATCTGAATTGTTGTCCTTGTACACATGATGCAATATTGCTTGTAGGGCGTTATGATCAATATTCACCATCTGGATATAACACTGTAGGCTCATCATGTCTTGGAGAACTTTTATGAGGTTGTGTTTTGTTTCATGAAACTGATCCATCAAAGGACAATATTTGTGGCAGCATCTGTTGCCATCATCTCCAGTCATCTTCATCTGCTCAGTGTGTTATTTCAACAAGCAGGAGAGCATTAAGAGCTGAAACACACCCCCTACTGGGACATAGTGTCATCACAAGATTCCTATGTTTAGCGCAACTTTCAACATGTGAACACACTTAGGACTCTCTAATGATAAACAACACTGATATCAATTACATCATGGAAAAACCTTCCTACCGAATATTGAGTTTGGTTCTTTATTTAACCATGGACAGACTTGGGTATCTTAGACTTCAGTATTTTGAAAGTTGGAGAAGTTGTTCCCTAGTGTTTTAATCGACAAACTCTGCCCTTATTTTGAAACTTCTCTATCTCGTCACATATTGTCGACTGGAGCATGGTATATCATTAAGTGTGTCATGTTGATACATATTGATTGTATTGTGACAGTTTGATTGCCTTAAATGAATTATTGCATTCATTTCAAGGGCGATTGTATCTCAATAGCAGCAGCGGTTGTGTAGATATATGGGTGAGAGAGAGTGGGTGTATTAGAGAAAATAGAGTGCGAGAGTGGGGAGAGAGAAGAGAGTGTGAAAGAGAATAGAGAGAGAGGGGGGGGGGAAGAGACAGTGTGTGTGTGTGTGGTGTGTGTGAGAGGATGAGAGAGAGAGAGAAATTCTTTTGTACATATTTATTGTCTCAATTAAAGCGAATTAACTTTGCAGATTTATTAACATCAAGTGCCACGTTCCCCAAAGTGATATTACCGCTACGACTGTAGTAAGTCCACGTTAAACTAAGGGAAGTACAATTATCTAATTTGTCCTTAACCATCTCCATTGCTCATTATAGAATACTACATCTGTAGCTGACGATGCTAATGGAACTCTCACAGTACTCACCTCTATCCTGTAGTGCATGTGGTCTCCCCACCGAGGTAGTCCATGTTAATGAAGCCGTCCCCAGCTTATCTTTATGCCCGGGCTATTGTAGGCTTATAACAATGTCAAGACTTGCTCCAGCTTTGTAGTAACTGAACAGGATTTGCCAAGGACCATTTTAATACCTGTTAGACCCACCCCTGTGAATGCCAAAAGAAATTTATGAAGCCAAACAAAAGACCAATCGACTGCTTTTGATATGATTGTTACAGCGCTCTTCATCAGCCAGGCACCTCTTACCTGTGATTGTTCGTTAGGCCAGGTAAATCTTACCTGCATATTATTAACTTCCTGTAATCTTACCTGGCGTATATCAAGACATTCCTTCACCTGGTTCAGTTGTCAACCTAACTATTCTGATTACGTCAGGTTATACCTGTCCTCGATGTTTCACTCGTTTGTCAAATACAGGTAAATGTTCAAACTTTACCTCTCGTATCTAACGAGTCAGGTAAATATTACTGCTGTGTCGGCTGTGAAGCAAGGATGGTCATACCAGCTTCAGTCCTGGGACAGGTATATCATAGCTGTCGAAATGCCTAGTAAGACAGAAGTAAATTCCTTAGCGAGAGAATGTTGTATGACAGAGGAGCTGCCGTAGCCACAATGTGTGTCATTAATTAACACGTATCAACTCACAGGTGCATAGCCTTACCTGTAACGACCAGACTTTTTACCTGTATAACAGTCAGGCAGTCTTACCTGGCCAAATTGGCTGCATAATTGGGACCTTACTCCAGGTATGCTTTACCTGTATTAACAACCTGCCTGAGATAACATTACCTGTGTAGACCTTGGCCTATGTCTTACCTGTAGGATCAGTTGATTAAGGGGTTGGATCGATGAGCTCTAGAACTTGGATCTCCAGATGAGAATATTGAATAATATCTTTTCTTGGTATCCCAGGATAGAGGTGGAATAATGCTAAAAGCAGCTTCACCCATCTCACACACTCACTCACTTTTACCTGTGACCCATGAAGATCCGGGGTAGAATAGGTCTTCAGCAACCCATGAAAGGCCATAAAAGGCGACTATGCTTGTCGTAAGAGGCGACTAACAGGATTGGGTGGTCAGGCTCGCTGACTTGGTTGATGCATGTCATCGTATCCTCATTGCATGGACCGATGCTCATGTTGTCAATTACTGGATTGTCTTGTCCAGACTTGATTATTTACAGACCTTCGTCGTACAGCTGGACTATTGCTAAGTAAGTAGAGTGTTAAACAACAAACAATAAAAAAATAGAACGATAGCATCAAGACAAGAAAATATTACCTGTAAGCAAGTCCAGCTAAGTTGGTGTGCGCCCTGTGCAGGTCTATGCATTTATATGAAGTACATTGAGTATGATGTGGCTACTGTTGTAATCAATAGCACAGCAACAGTCCTTCCTGTCCTGTCGCTGGGAGGCAGGCAGGCAGCATCTGCAGCAGGGCTGTTGTTGCCGTGACAGATTCAGCTTGTCCATGTCAGGGCCCGACTTGACCACAATTAACTGTTCATGTGTCATGTCATGTTCTGTCTGCTGGCCCTAATGATATTTAAGTAGTGTGAGAATTTGTTCCTATTGACTGATGACCTTTAAAATGTTTCAGGGTTTAGAGGGAATAATATGTAGCCATTGTTGATGATGATTGAGAGAGAGAGAGGGAGAAAGAGAGAGGGAGAGAGAGAGAGAGAGAGGGAGGGAGAAAGAAAGAGAGAGGTAGGGAGGGAGAAAGAAAGAGAGAGAGGGAGGGAGAGAAAGAGAAGGAGGGAGAGAGGGAGGGAGAAAGAAAGAGAAGGAAGGAGAGAGAGAGAGGGAGGGAGAAAGTGAGAGAGAGGGAGAAAGGGAGAAAGAGAGAGAGAGAGGGAGAAAGAAAGAGAGAGAGGGAGAGAGAGAGGGAGGGAGAAAGAAAGGGAGAAAGAAAGAGAGAGAGGGAGGGAGAAAGAAAGAAAGAGAGAGAGGGAGGGAGAAAGAGAGAGAGGGAGAAAGAAAGAGAGAGAGAGAGAGAGCTGAACTGTCAGTCATAGTTGGACTTGGACTTTGATGTTTGGATAGATCAGAAATATGAATAAAAAAATAAAATTTATCAAAATATTACACATACACTAGTTCTAAAATTGATTGCCATCATATGACTGGAATATTGCTGTGAGCAGTTTTAAACAACAAACAAACAAAAAAGATGATAAATTACTTTTGGGGAAAATATTCATTTGATGCTCTTTTATGTTTTTTCACCTATGTTAAAACAATCCTCACTTGAAACGTGGCAAGTATGTCAACTAGAAAATGAAAACTTGTATCGAAGAAACACTACCTTGAATTTATTCCGTTATTGAAGAGAGTAAATATTTGTACTGACGATAAACCAGTTTATGGGTGTAGTGAAAGGACGTTACATGTCTGAATGTGACATTGTGATACACACGTCCTATATTGCGTGAAGGTACAGGCTCTTTGTGTGCAAGTGTGATACATCGTGTCTTCACACCTGCTTATAGCCTGGAGCCCCATACAGTTTAGCTGCATATGCCCAGTGTTATACTGAAGTTACACAACTACTTTGTGTGCAAGTGTGTTACATTGTGTCTTCACACCTGCTTATAGCCTGGAGCCCCATACAGTTTAGCTGCATATGCCCAGTGTTATACTGCACTTACACAACTACTTTGTGTGCAAGTGTGATACATTGTGTCTTCACACCTGCTTATAGCCTGGAGCCCTATACAGTTTAGCTGCATATGCCCAGTGTTATACTGAAGTTACACAACTACTTTGTGTGCAAGTGTGTTACATTGTGTCTTCACACCTGCTCATAGTCTGGAGCCCCATACAGTTTAGCTGCATATGCCCAGTGTTATACTGCACTTACACAACTACTTTGTGTGCAAGTGTGTTACATTGTGTCTTCACACCTGCTCATAGTCTGGAGCCCCATACAGTTTAGCTGCATATGCCCAGTGTTATACTGCACTTACACAACTACTTTGTGTGCAAGTGTGATACATTGTGTCTTCACACCTGCTTATAGCCTGGAGCCCTATACAGTTTAGCTGCATATGCCCAGTGTTATACTGAAGTTACACAACTACTTTGTGTGCAAGTGTGTTACATTGTGTCTTCACACCTGCTCATAGTCTGGAGCCCCATACAGTTTAGCTGCATATGCCCAGTGTTATACTGCACTTACACAACTACTTTGTGTGCAAGTGTGTTACATTGTGTCTTCACACCTGCTCATAGTCTGGAGCCCCATACAGTTTAGCTGCATATGCCCAGTGTTATACTGCACTTACACAACTACTTTGTGTGCAAGTGTGTTACATTGTGTCTTCACACCTGCTCATAGTCTGGAGCCCTATACAGTTTATCTGCATATGCCCAGTGTTATACTGCACTTACACAACTACTTAATTGTCTATCAACCACATGGCCCTTCTGTGAACACACCCGGATATTGTCCTCCTTTATTGCCTACCAAATGGAGATTTGATGATGCCATTGTCTGCATGGATGAGGGACACCTTTGTTAAGTTTTTACTGATCGATGTGAGGTGAGGTGAAATGGAGTTAAACGTTGCGTCCAAGATTATTGCACTTATATAGCGACGTGCATGTACGTGTGTGTGTTTGTGTGGCTGCTTGTACTAGTCCGGACTGATACCGATTTATAGTGCTAGCCCACTGAGATACCATGCCGCAGTTTTACATGAATACCCCACTCAGACACAGTATACTGACTCAGAGCCGACCAGTCCTGGTTTTAGCCCCTTAATGCCGAGCGCCAGACAGGGTAACAAGTAACAAGTATTATCTTTTAACGTCTTTTGGTATGACGCGGTCGGGGATCGAACCCCGGACCTTCCGCTCCCCGGGCGGGCGCTCTACCATTATACCATGGAGGCGGTCTGATCGAATGTGACTTGGTTGGTCGGCGGGGTACCATTGAGAATGCTTGACAGTCGGCGGGGTACCATTGAGAATGCTTGACGGTTGCCTGGGTACCATTGAGAATGCTTGACGGTCGGCTGGGTGCCACTGAGAATGCTTGACGGTTGACTGGGTACCACTGAGAATGCTTGACGGTCGGCTGGGTGCCACTGAGAATGCTTGACGGTTGACTGGGTACCACTGAGAATGCTTGGCGGTCGGCGGGGTACCACTGAGAATGCGTGACGGTCGGCGGGATACAAATGATTGTGCTTGATGTTGGGTTTGGTTCAGGTCTACCAATCAGTGAGGACCATTCAAACGGTGAGGGGTTAAACTGCTATCTTCAACATACCTGTGTTTCTGGGAGGATCAGTTTTCTAGTCACCCTTATAGCCAAAGACGGACATAGGTAATACCTGCATTCTTTCCCCACACAATCTCACCTCAGTGACTGACATTGACACCATCCTGTTTGGTAACTTAGCAAACTTAGCAAGTGTTACACAGAATAGAAACATTTTCCTGTACAGATGTCAGATGTAGTGACCCTACTTTATTGACAGGGCTGTCTTGCTTACCTGAGACCTGTGGAGATCCGGGGTAGAATAGGTCTTCAGCAACCCGTGCTTGCCGTAAAAGGGGACTAAGCTTGTCGTAAGAGGCGACTAACGGGATCAGGTGGTCTGGCTCGCTGACTTGGTTGATGCATGTCATCGTATCCCAATTGCGTGGATCGATGCTCATGATGTCAATCACTGGATTGTCTGGTCCAGGCTCGATTATTTACAGACCGCCGTGATATAGCTGGAATAGTGCATACTACATTCCTCCTGGAGGTGAACAGGGAATGCAGTATATTGATCAAATTAGTTATGGATAACTGCATCATTTGGTGGTGACATGTGGACGTACAAGCAAACAGTTGATCATATCAACATCATATAGCACCATTTACTGCATGACCTGTCAGTTCTATATTGACCAAGGAGAAGGATATATCCTGATCACGCTGGAGGGAACCTGACTGCAATCTCTTGCTGGAACAGTGATCTTTTGATTCTGCTCGAGCGGCCCAATCATCTGAGTCGTGTCCCTTTGTCCTGCCAGAATCCGATAACTGTGGGTTTGAATCCCAGATTTGCCCTGAGTATCATTCTTGGTCTTGTCAGCACCATACCATGCAAGCATGCATGACAGGCATGTGGTATGATGGGCAGATTTTGACTCTCCTGTCTTCAGAACAGCATTAAACCAACTCACTCACTTGGCCGCAGAAAGTATAAGTATTTATTCTTTTTTGTCCATGATACATAAGGGTGTTTGAGCTAACATGTCACCCACTGAACGACAATGATCAAACTAGCTGGGATGCCTATTTGTCTGAGGCAAGCCGCCTTTAAGATCCGTGACACGGGAGGTGGTGTTACATCCACAGGTTCCAGAAACTGTTGGCGAGCGCTGAGACAATCTATCTGTTGAGTCTGTGCGTGATCCTAGGCCAGTGCAACATGCTGTGTTTGATTGACTAGGTTTAATCATTAATGAGACTGGCAGGGTATGGGTGAACTAGGTGTACATTTGCCCTCGTCCGCCAGCTGGCAATGTCAAGACGCTGCTGATAGTGTCACTACAAACAAGAACCTCGAGAACGAGCTGCCAAATGAAATGTTGAGATGTTTTCCCTGGTATTTGTCTCTGAATGAATTTGCAGAGTTGATGTTTCTTTAGGTAATGTTTGCTTGTAAATTAATGAGACCTTTGGATGTACATCTGTTGGGTTTGGTATTGTCATCAGACTCAAATCTGTCAGCTATTGGCAGAAAGGAGATTGTGAATGATGTACCTGTTACTGGAGGATCACACTGAGACTCCTCGTGTGACAGAGCTGATCGCTGAACAACATGTCACATAGGCCATGCACAACATGCTCTCACATCAGTCATTAAGGCAGTTATTGGACACTGTAGACACAATTTGGGTAAGGGAACTCTATCAGGGTTAAAATGGGTCCCCAATGCTCCACAACACTTAGTAAGACTCCGACCTAGGACCTACACCAATCCCGTCAACCTAGGAATCACCAATTCCATTGACTTTGGACTCGATCCCCTCGACCTAGGATTCAATCCTGTCAACCTTGGACGCTACAACCACCTTCACCTAGGACCCACAAAACCCATCGACCTAGGAGCCAACAATCCACTCGACCTAGGACCCACAAAACCCATCGACCTAGGAGCCACGAATCTCCTCGACCTAGGACCCACAAAACCCATCGACCTAGGAGCCACGAATCCCCTCGACCTAGGACCCACAAAACCCATCGACTTAGGAGCCACGAATCCCCTCGACCTAGGACCCACAAAACCCATCGACCTAGGAGCCAACAATCTCCTTGACTTAGGACTCAACAATCCCCTCGACCTAGGACTCAACAACCCCCTCGACCTAGGACTCAACAACCCCCTCGACCTAGAACTCAACAATTCCCTTGACCTAGGACTCAACAATTCCCTTGACCTAGGACCCACAAAACCCATCGACCTAGGAGCCAACAATCCCCTCGACCTAGGACCCACAAAACCCATCGACCTAGGAGCCAACAATCCCCTCGACCTAGGACCCACAAAACCCATCGACCTAGGAGCCAACAATCCCCTCGACCTAGGACCCACAAAACCAATCGACCTAGGAGCCAACAATTCCCTTGACCTAGGACCCACAA